ATTTGTTAGGAACATTGGGTACAAATGGGTTGTGTATGGTTGAAATTTGTTAGGACCACTGGGTACAAATGGGTTGTGTATGGTATAAATTTGTTAGGAACATTGGGTACAAATGGGTTGTATATGGTAAACATTTGTTAGGAACACTGGGTACAAATGGGTTGTGTATGATTGAAATTTGTTAAGAACATTGGGTACAAATGGGTTGTATATGGGTAAACATTTGTTAGGAACATTGGGTACAAATGGGTTGTGTATGGTTGAAATTTGTTAGGACCATTTGTACAAATGGGTTGTGTGTGTTTGAAATTTGTTAGGACCACTGGGTACAAGTGGGTTGTGTATGGTATAAATTTGTTAGGAACATTGGGTACAAATGGGTTGTGTATGATTGAAATTTGTTAGGACCATTGGGTACAAATGGGTTGTGTATGATTGAAAATTGTTAAGACCATTGGGTACTAATAGGTTGTGTATGGTTGAAATTTGTTAGGACCATTTGTACAAATGGGTTGTGTATGTTTGAAATGTGTTAGGACCACTGGGTACAAATGGGTTGTGTATGGTATAAATTTGTCAGGAACATTGGGTACAAATGGGTTGTGTATGATTGAAATTTGTTAGGACCATTGGGTACAAATGGGTTGTGTATGATTGAAATTTGTTAAGACCACTGGGTACAAATGGGTTGTGTATGGTATAAATTTGTTAGGAACATTGGGTACAAATGGGTTGTATATGGTAAACATTTGTTAGGAACACTGGGTACAAATGGGTTGTGTATGATTGAAATTTGTTAGGACCATTGGGTACAAATGGGTTGTGTATGATTGAAATTTGTTAGGACCATTTGTACTAAATAGGGTTGTGTATGTTTGAAATTTGTTAGACATGGGTACAAATGGGTTGTGTATAGTTGTAATTTGTTAGGAACATTGGGTACAAATAGGTTGTGTATGGCACAAATTTGTTGAATACAACAGAAATGTATTAGGTATATTGTGTGGATTTGAATAGTGGCACAAAAGAGTTGGTACATTGTGTAGAGAATAGTTTATGGAGAAAATATGTTATGTACAATGAGTGGGTACAAATGGGTTGTTTATGGTAAAAATATGTTGCATACAATGAGTGGGTACAAATGGGTTGTTTATGGTAGAAATATGTTATGTAGAATGAGTGGGTACAAATGGGTTGTTTATGGTAGAATATTTTATGTACAATGAGTGGGTACAAATGTGTTGTTTATGGTAGAAATATGTTATGTAGAATGAGTGGGTACAAATGGGTTGTTCATGGTAGAAATATGTTATGTACAATGAGTGGGTACAAATGGGTTGTTTATGGTAAAAATATGTTGCATACAATGAGTGGGTACAAATGGGTTGTTCATGGTAGAAATATGTTATGTAGAATGAGTGGGCACAAATGGGTTGTTTATGGTAGAAAATATGTTATGTAGAATGAGTGGGCACAAATGGGTTGTTTATGGTAGAAAATATGTTATGTAGAATGAGTGGGTACAAATGGGTTGTCTATTGTAGAAATATGTAAAAGTGGGTACAAATGGGTAGAAATATGTTACCATAATCCTTCTATTAATTCAACCATGAAAATATATTTATCAGAAAAACAGAAATGATATTTTAAGTGGTCAATCTACTCTGGCAATCGTACTGCGGGATTGGAAACCAAAATCTAAGAGTGATTTCAAGAAGTTTATTCAAGTGATGATGGTGCTCCATGTACCACCTAGTAAGAAAGAAGTCTGTCAATGTATCAGTTTAACTTGACACTGCTGCGTGTGCTGAAATAGGAATGTTTGTGATTGGCAATTAAAAAAATAATGCACACTCACACTCACCTAAACATTCTTTTTTTGGATGATTTGTTGGCCCTGAAAGTGTTATATTCCCATTTACTATAAACGTCATGTCTGAGACAGTAACCCAAGACCATAATGCATACATATACTGTTAACATTGCAGGCAGACAGACACTACTAAACAGTTTTTATTTCACAGTAATTTTGGTTTGAGTGAAGTCTTAAGACAGACAAGCTAAACAATTGATTGTTTTCAGTCAGATTGTCATACATGTAAACCGGTCAATATTAATTTGCCATCTTCAGGTAAAGCACTTCATACAATTTTTACTCTGGGCTGTAGTCACAGGGAAATATGGCTACATGACTGATCAAAGAACAATAGATGTCACCTGTGTACGTGTGTTAATTGGGTCCAAATGGCCGAAAACAACCCACGCTTACGCCCACGCCGTCTACCTTATGCACAGGTGACACTCCCCTGGTTTAACTATCTTTTTTTCCTGGTCAGCATGTCAGAAATCATTGAGTCCCAGCCAATCAAAAATCTCAATTACAGTGGTTGGTGATTAGCATAAGACAAAAATCATCAAGTCTTAACCAATCAACAATCACAGGGGTTGGTGATTAGCACATGACAAAAATCATCAAGTCTTAACCAATCATATGACATTAGTTTGTTGTCTTTGTTCATTCAAAGGTTGTCTTCATTCAGTCAATGTTTTGTAGGGTGAGGAACAAAGCACAAAAAGACAAACATATTAAACATGTTTTATTGCTATTGAATGTAAAAACAAACTACTGGGAATGATAGTTATCTAAACGTTCCATTTCCTGGCGGGGGGCCGAACTGAAAGAGGAAAAACAACAATTATTGGTAATAATAGGGGGTTGAATGAATAGAAGAATTATGGTATGTGCCATGTACCATGTAAGTTGTATGGGTTACGGTATTAGAAATAGACTTAGATGTCTAAAGCAGAAATATGTTATGAGGTATAGTATGGCTCTTGTCCAACCTGTCACACAATCACACGACATATTTATCACTTTTGCAACACACATTTGTCACATTCGCATCGCACATTTATCACATTCGCATCACACATTTATCACATTTGCATCACTCACTTATCACATCACACATTTATCACAATCGCATCACACATTTGACACATTCGCATCGCACATTTATCACATTTGCATCACTCACTTATCGCATCACACATTTGTCACATTTGCATCACTCACTTAACACATCACACATTCATCACAATCACATCACACATTTATCACAATCACATCACACATTTATCACAATCACATCACACATTTATCACAATCGCATCACTCCCTTATCACATCACACATTCATCACAATCACATCACACATTTATCACAATCACATCACACATTTATCACATTGCATCACACATTTATCACATTTGCATCACTCACTTATCACATCACACATTCATCACAATCACATCACACATTTATCACAATCACATCACACATTTATCACAATCACATCACTCCCTTATCACATCACACATTCATCACAATCACATCACACATTTATCACAATCACATCACACATTTATCACATTGCAT